CCTCCCTCTCCTTCATCCCTCCCTTTCCTTCCTTCCTCCCTCCCTCCCACCCTCTCCTTCATCCCCCTTCCTTCCTCATCCCTCCATCTCCTTCATCCCTCCCTTTCCTTCCTTCCTTCTTCCTCCCTCCCTCCCACCCTCTCCTTCCTCCCTTCTCTCCTTCATCCCTCCTTTTCCTTCCTTCTTTCTTCCTCTCTCCCACCCTCTCCTTCGTTCCTCCATCTCCTTCATCCCTCCCTTTCCTTCATCCCTCCCTCTCCTTCATCCCTCCCTTTCCTTACTTCCTCTTCCTCCCACCCTCCTTCATCTCTCCCTCTCCTTCACCCCCGCTTCCTTCCTCATCCCTCCATCTCCTTCATCCTTCCCTTTCTTTCCTTCCTTCCTTCCTTCCTTCCTTCCTTCCTTCCTTCCTTGTGATTGAAGATTCTAAATTCCACTTAAATTTACACCCCAGGCACTGCACTTTGATTTAATTGCAGTATCCTTTTCTCACTCCAAGCCAAAGCCTCAAACATTAGGGATACCCATTATATAGTGTCAAGGAAGGTTGCCACCAAATTGCCTTGCTTTTCTTTTCTTCAGCATCATCTTATTATTCCCATCTCCCAAGCCTTTGGCTGTACTATGCAGAGATTTTTTTCTGCAGTGTTGGCAGTGTCAGCTTGGTGTTTTTAAAGAACCAAGTTTGATTCCTTTTCTTTTGCTGAAGTAACTCCCCACAAAAAAAACCCTTACCTTAAGCAAACATTTAAAGCAAAAATAAAGATAGCACTTGGAGATTTGTAAAATAGTTCCAACTATTACTCATTTTTGCTTTCTATCCTTTTCTTTTTTCTTTACATGTGTGAATGATTACTTTCTGTTCTGCAGAGACCTCCAGACATATTGTAAGCTTGAAAGCAGGGCAGTGGATAGAAAGGCTTTCTCGCCATCGTTTCTCAACAGCAAGTTTTGTTTATTCTTTTAAATAAAATTTGGGAAGTATTTGGGAAAGAGTTCGAAGAAACAGGGAGAAATTAGCCAGCCCCCCCAATTCCCCCCCCATTTCCCTCTGGCAGGAAGAAACTTTTTAAAGGAGAGATATCAAAGCATGCAGGAATAAGTAAGATGAATCAACTTCAGCAAGCAAAGTGTGCAATTTGCAAGTGGTAGTTTGACAGCTATTGTATACTGCAAGAGAAATTCTCTAATATATTAAAAAAAATCCCCTTCTCCCAGTTACAGATTATTCATCTGTACTACAAATCCCATCTGCATATGTGAGAATCCTCATGTCCCACAGAACTGTGTGGCATTTCTTTCCTGCTTTGGTGAGTCTAGATAGCGGCTAGATAGTTATCGTTTCTTTTTCTCCCCTGGCTGCGTGTAACAGTTTCCTCCTTTTTGCAAATAAGTGCATTAAGAATCAATAGATTAAAGCCAGGCACCGCGGAAAGATGCAGAGCACATCGAGCCCCCCAAGAGCCTCTTCAGAAGGCTGCTCAACCTTGCAGATATGCGTTCAGGGTTCAAAATGAGTTTGGGTCTCTTTCAGCAGGCTTGCCTTTTTGGCAGGTGCTGCTCCTCCCCTCGAGAGTTTGGCTTTTTCCTTAGTTGTGCTCTGAAGCTTTCATTGAAAAGTGGCTGAAAAGAAAACCATTTAGCTGCTTTGGGTTTCTTTCCCATTAAGCTGCTGGAGGTTGCTTGGAAGTCTTGAATGCAGGGAAAGTTCTGGCGTCCATTTCTTAGTCACCCGCCCGTCTGGATGCATTTTCTTTTTGAACCAGTGATTTGCTGTGAATACATCTCCCCCATTGGGTTGCCTGAAGTGGTACTGAGGCATTAAAAATTCCTGGGAGGGACAACCTTCACTCCTTCAAAGCCTGAATGAATGAAAATGCAGTGGGGACTAGCAAAGAGTCCATACAGATCCTCTGAGAACTTGGCTGAGTAAATCAGCGAATGATGAACCTGCCTTTTCTCTGTTGTTAACCTCTTTTACCTTTTTTCCCCAATTCAACAAGGCTATTATATTTTTAAAAAAATCTAAGACTTTAAGGGAGAGTTCCTTCAGCATGCTAATTATTGGCTAAATTGCAAGACTAACCCCTGCCCCCCACCCCAAAAGGTCCCTTTTGCACAGCTTTGAGACACCACTTGGCTCCTATCTCAGTCATTCTTTTTTAGTATCTTGAGAAGGGGCTGGTGTATTGCAGAGGCGAGTGTTGGCATTGGGTGTCATCTAAGAATGGCTCCGTGTGGGCTAAGAGGCTTTCTTAGAAGACAAAAATGGTGGATGGCTGCAGCCCAGTGATTCAGTCGGTATTGTCTAGGAAAAGAAGTCTGGTGTTAATTAGGAATGTCCTGGAGTCTCCAGGCTAGAGTCCATCCTGAGGGGAGCTAGAGGAGATGGTACAAAGCCAAAGATAGCTTTTTTAAAAAAAAACTATGAAGACACTGTCTTCAGTGTCTTTTGTCTCGATGAAGGAAAATACTTGTAGCTCAGCGTTGACATGAGGGGTCCTTGCTGTTCTCTGATTTTGGTTGTTTTCCTGCAGACGTTTCCTTACCCACACTAGGTAACATCATCCATGCTAGAGATGATGTTGTTTTGCAGTTTGACTGGATCCTGACCAAACAGGATATACTCAGAATTTAAGGGTTTTTTTTTTATCCTGAGAGAAAAGCAATACTGCTTTGTAGCACTGATGATGTTACCTAGTTTGGGAAATGAAACGTCTATATTTTGTCTTACAAGGTTAGTTAGGCTAGTTGACTGTGTTTGTCTGGGCATGGTGGGCATACAGCTTGTGGAACATTCCTGAACAGAGGCAATTTTATATTGATCTGTTTTCCCCCCTGCAGGATACTCTGGGAATTGTAGTTCAGAGGAAAGTTGAATTAGATGTAAGAGAACAGCATTTTCTGTATTGATCTGGCACTCTTTCCAAATAAATATATGGCAACTCTTTGAGAATGTCACAGGCACATTTTACATCCTTAGTAGAAGGAAGGTGGGAATTGTTTTTCTCCAAATGATCATTTACCAGGATTTGTATCCGATACTGAAAACTTGGGAAACAGTAAAAATTTCTGAGTCACTGCCTTTTCTGCCTCCAAGACTGGAATCTATTTACAAAGCAGTATTGCTTTTCTCTCAGGATAAAAAATAACCCCTTAAATTCTGAGTATATCCTGTTTGGTCAGGATCCAGTCAAACTGAAAAATAGGTGCATGAGAGGAAATTGATGTTCCTATCCTTCCAAAAGCAATTTTGACTGTTGATACCAGGACCATTATCGAGGCTTACCCAAGAAAAGATATTTAGCATTCTTATAACCCCTTTCTGCCTTTTCTTAGTGAATGGATTATGAGGTATAGCTTTCAAGCTGAATGGGTAAAGTGAGATTTTTTTACAACCAGTCTGCATTTATGCATTACTGCTACTAAATTTAGCAGGAAACTAACTAAGGGTTTTTTTTTCCTCTCTCAATAATTTGCTTAGGAGAGAAGAGTGTCAACCTTCTCCCACAATTCTGTAAGTCTTTATCCCTATGTGTCTGTTAGAAAAAAATGGGAATAGGGACTAAGCATCTCTTTTGGAACAATGTCAGGTTTGCATTTTAAAATTTATCTATGAAACACTATGAAATTGTGTAGAGTGGAATGTTGTATTTTTCCTTTATTATATATCCCATTCTGATGATTCAAGAGTTTGTTTTTCTGAAGCAAAGAACAAGATTTTTGTTCTAAGTTCTTTTGGTTTCCAGTGGGAACAAGAATATTAGATAAATTGGAGAAAATCTAGTTAACAAACCTGTTTGGAAAATAAAGCACATTAAAATTACTGTAGCAGAGTCAGGATCTCAAAAGAGTTTTATACTTTTTATAGTAGAATTATAGCTGCACTATTTTTAGCCTAATAATCATTTTAAAAAACTGGAATGTATAATGTTGCACCTGTTTATACATCCATAATAGGATATAATTCAATTGTAAATTGTGACGAGTTAGGTGATGGAGGAGAATCTCTGGCATATTAAGATTCTAAGCTGGGAATATCTTCTGACTTTTGAATGAGTTTAGAACTTTGTGGATTTCTTCTCACTGATATTGAAAGAAGTTGCTTGTGGCTTAGTTGAAAGTCTGTTCATTACCTTGAAGAAAAAAAGGAAAATAGATAAATATTAGATGAGTGAAGGAAAGCAACAAAGATGAATAAAAGGAACTGCAATCAGTTTGACATCATTTTAGACACTTCTAAAGAAAATATAGATTGATTTTAAGCACTTTTACCTATAGTGGATTTGTCAAAAATTAGTCTTGATGGATTGTCTCAATTCATTTTTTTATAGCTGTTCTTAGTAGAACATGGGAATGCCTTGACTTCTGCAAAACATTTGATGAAGTATCCCTTGAAATTCAGATGAGCAAACTAGTTAAATATGGGTTGGGTGGTAATGTTTATACAGTGAATCACAGCTAATTCAAACAACAGCCACCAATAATGTCTTCCTTTTAAAACTGAAGTGAGTTATCAAGTGT